AATGTAACAACAGTTATAACAAATGTAACAACAGTTATAATAAATGTCAGAGAGCAGAGTGTTTTTGTGCTGTTCCCCCTTTTTCAGCATTTAGGAGCAAAACTAATAAAATCCAGGGTCCAAAGAGACGTTGGTGTATTCACCAGTTTGAAGTAACTGTCATGCAGACACTGCATGCACAATGAATGCAGCTGAGCGGCATCAGGGTTGCCAGATAAATTTAACATATCTTATTTACCCCCTCCTTTTTTGTGCACATGTTCAACAAACACAACACAACTCATCTTAGAATATATTTACTCAGCACATATGACAGTTTAGGTCAAAATACTATCATTTTAAAGCCACAGTACTATAGTTCATAATTTCTTATCTGTCAACCCAACTGACATGGAAGCTACAACATTTTTGTGTAAACCTACTCATCTTTTGTTTATTTCCCCCAATAAACATTGAAAAAAAACACAAATGTTTCCAGAGATTGTTCTGTATAGCAGGTAGATCACTTTGACTTGGTCGTTTTAAAAGGAGCTGCAAGCTGAAAGTGTGGGCACCCCTGGTTTAGCTGTTTGAGTCACATTTTTTGTAGATTTTCTCCTAATAAGTCTAATTACCTTACAGATGCAATATAAGAGCAATAAACACATTTAGTAGTGACTTTACAAAGCTCTTTGTCAAAGCAAAGCCTGGAGATTTGAACCTTTACATATCCACCAAAGTGAAACTCAGTGTGTTGCAGCCATGAGTCTTTCTCTACACTGCTTAATGCAAATGTAAGCCTGTGTTTAGTTAGGTGAATTTATTCTGACAGAATGTTGTTCAGGTGAAATCTCTGCTGCTTGTTCAGGGTCATGTCATTTCTGTAGTGGGTCCTGCAGCTAGGCTCAGGACTGTGTTCAGACTAACAAATAAATGTGGTTACAAGCAGTTCAGACCACCTTTAAGGCTGGCCTGAATTAAAATATTTTCAATAGGCAAGGAAACAATTCAGACCTGTTTTATCCTGATCAGACAGCTAGAGCTGAAATTTAGCAACAACTTGAACAGGAAATGTAATGAGTTGCATGTAAATCCAATTATTCCTTTTTGCAAATTTCACAACATCCATTCAGTGAGATATTTTGGTAACAGGCATACACACAGAGGCAAAAACAGCATCACATTGCCTTTACCATTGTGTGAGTGATAAATATTACTAAATCAATTACAAATCAAGGCCAAGTGTATGCATTATAAATGCTCAGCCTTTAATTAATGGATTGTTAGTATTTTTTTCCTGTTTTTCCATTTGTCCTGCAAGAGTCTGCTGACCAATTTTATTTCTTTATCCACTGTGTTGTTTGTTTTTCCTGTTGCCCAGAACATCACGAGACCATCTCGAGTGTGAGACAGCAAGATAAAGAGACAATAGAGGTCTGTAACTTTCGTTTTTTCTTTTGTGCACAATTTTATTTGTAAGAGGAAACTTGGCAACACAGAGTTAAACTTCTAACCTGAATGAAAGATTATAAAATACCAGAAGGATCAGGCTGAGTCTCTGTTGTACCACTTTTCTTTGAATTTAAACAAAATGACGATCGATTTGAAGGTGTAAAACATTTTATATTATTAAAAAGAACAAGCAAACAAAAAAAACTACAAAGTGTCAGTTTTAGATTTTATTAATTTGCTGAAGTCCCAACAGTAAGTCTCATCAGGTTTGCACCAAGCTCCATGAGCTCCATGATCTTGGTACATCTAACCACCAGAGCTTTTGAAAATTTGTACTCATTTCATGTCCAATTCTGGATTTGTCATTAGAGTGCAGTAAAATGATAAGTGAAGGACACCAAATCTGCTGAGTAGGTATTCAGGATGAAAACTGAACTTTTATTTAGGTAAGAGACAATCCAGTAAATCCAGAACAGACCTAAACATGACAACCAGAGACCACCTTCAACCTCATTGTATTGAACAACAATTTAGATAATTCTATTTTACTTTGTCCGTTCTTCATGACTAAACTGCTCCAGCTCTCTAATTCTACCACTGGATGTTTGCTGCTCATTTCTTTAAATCAAACGATTCTCGGTTGGACTGAGGTCTGGTCTATGACTGGGACAATCCAGGATCTTTAATTGGTTCTTGTTAAACCAGTGGAGTGTTGCTTCAGCAGTGCATTAAGAGTCCAGCTGGAAGTTGAACTTCTAATTCAGTTCTCCAAAGACTCACGTTTCCATCAGTAATTTCCTTGCATTCGGCTCCATCCAGCTTTCCTTCATCTCTGACCAACATTTGCCATTTCTTTTGTTAAAATAAATATTTTTCCTATCTATTATTCCATGAAGTCCAGCTCTTTGCAGCCTCTAGTGATCCTACAGACAGACTGTCCCATTTGCACAGCTCCATCAGGATGATAATCTTTGTTTTGGCCTCTTGGATTTTTTTCTGATTATTGCCCTCCCTATCTGATCCATGACTTTTCCATCCATCCATCCATCCATCCATCCATCCATCCATCCATCCATCCATTATCTTCTGCTTGTGTTTTGGAGAGAGTTTGCAGCATTTTTTTTACTTGCAGTTGTTGTTTTTGTTGTTGTTGTTTGTTTTTTGTTAGTATGCTTGTTTGTTTGTTTTTTGGGGGTGGGGTTTATTTGCAGCATTTTCCCTTTACATTTGTTTTGCTGGTTGCAAGTTTTTTTTTCTGTCTATTTTCTGTGACAGCCAAATTTTTCTTTTGCAGAGTTTTTCTGTAGCGTTTGTTTTTATGTTGTGGAGTTTGCATGATTCATGTGTTTGCAGTACATTTACACATTTGCTGTATGTTTAGCTGTTTGCAGCTTGATTATATTGTAGTTACAAGTTAATATCATTTGATAGGTTTAGATCCGTTGACACTTAAATTGTTCACAGGTGGACCTGAATTGTTCTGAAACATTATTTTAGGTTAAATTAAAATTAGTGTCCAAATGGGGGAGTAGTGTCACAGAGCCTGATCGGGAGGTCACCAGTTCGAATCTGTAGTGAACCTGATCTGACCTCAAATCTGATCAGATGAACAGAGACTGTTATTTCATTGATCTGCATCCAGAAATACAGTTTGAGCCATCTGGTGACTTTCTTTCTTGAATTAATCAAGCAGAAAAGACAATTCTCTATGATCATTACTGTTTTACAAATGTTTGATAATCAAATTGTGTTAGCTCACTCAATGCTTACAGGTTGAAGAGAACTACTCATTTTTATTTTACATAAACAGTAAGTAATGATTTTTATTCCTCATTCAAAGAAGAAATCAGGTTAATATGCATTTCTTGATTTTCTGTCTTTTATGAGCAAGTTTGTAAGTATGTTAAAGGTCGAGTCTCGGTCAACTAAAATGTTTACTGAGAAGAAATGTCATGTTTAAACTTTTTCAGAAGATAATAAGAGTTTGACTCCACGAAGTCTGCTTTTTCTCCAATAATCTTTTCTGTATGTTGTAAACAATCTCATTCTCTGACCTCGAATTTGATAACATCTTACATCACAAACCACACCTCTATTCTGGTCTATCCACGAATCAGAAAGCTCTAAATTGACCCGGAAGTCAACTCATTTAAAATGTGGCAACTTCCCGGTTCTTGCTAGAGTGCTGCAGAGTGCTAGAGAGTGCACAGAGTCTGATGTCGGAAGTCTGATAGAGAGTGAAAGGAGATGAAAGGAGTTCAGAGTTCTTGGATGCAAACGCGTTCAGGATGATCCAGAGACGTTTTGGGATTATAACTTCTGTTTGAACAACCTCGTACGACTCTCTAAGGGTTTGGCAGTTCTCACGGAGACGCTGAAAGAGTCAGAAAGGAACCCTACGCCGACGCTGATTTTATCGTCAACCAGGTAGAAGGTTCTATTTTCGACCAAGTGTACCGTGGGCAAGCTGAGATCTGATGGAGCGTGCACGTTTCTGGTCAAACAGATTAATTCCCTCACAAATCTCTCTGTAAGATAAATCTCCATTTCCATCTTAAACTCTGCTTTCTCCTAAAATCAGTACAGATATCTTAGAAATATCTGAAGCAAAGTCCTCAATCACCGCCGTGTGATTGAAGTCCATTATCTGTGAAACTTGTCTGTTATTATTTTCATATTTTGCCAAATTAATGTAAATGTTTGATGTTAAACTTTGATTCTGAAAATAAATGACCGCATTCATTTGATGGGTCAAAGATAATAACGTCTCTCGTTCGCATTTCTGTTAAATTCAACGCACGACATTTACACAGTCAGAAAGATGAGGAACTCGTGAAAAGTATGAATATATATCCAGCATATGACATACTACAAATCCCAGTACCAACAACATCAGTATGTGAGTGAGAAAGGTGAAGCGCCCACATCTGCTTACACTCTCATTTGCCCTCATCTGGGCCCCAGAGCAAGGCCCTTAACCCCCTTGCAATTATGTATTTTCACATAGCTGAGCTGAGGGAGTGGTGGCGTAAAGGTTAGAAGATGGGCCTGTGATCGGAAAGTCGCAGGCTCAACTCCCAGTACAGTCAACATCAAAATGTGGGTGGAAAAGGTGGAACACCCACACCTCCCTCCACCCTCATTAGCCCCACTCTGGGCCCCTGAGCAAGGCCCTTAATCCCCACCGTCTGCTCCCTAAACAGGTCTCTCTTGAAAATGAGTTCTTGTGGCTCAGTGAGACTACCTGTATAAATAAAGGGTCAATGAAAAATGAAAAATGACCTCAGATACAGAAATGAAGGGTATCAATCAACCTTTATTTATACAGGTAAATCCCATTGAGCCTCGAGGACTCATTTACAAGAGAGACCTGATTCCAACAAAGAAAGATGACAACAATGGACAACAGCAACAACAATAAACAGTTATAAAAAAGCATACTACAGTTTTTTTTTTTTTTTTTTTTTTTAACAAATAGGATGGCTAAAAGGAAAAGGTAACAAAACAAAAAACAGCTAGATTCCAAGACAAATGTAGAAAACTAACAACAGGAACATGTCAGCATTGGACCCTGCCAGGTGTCCAACAGATTCTTAAAGACACTTAGAGAGGTCAAGGTCGAGAGCGTCAAATCTTTTTGTAAGATATTCCAGGAAACAGGAGCGGAATAGGAGAAGGCCCTTTTGCCTAGTTCAGTCCTCATTGAGGGAACACTGCAGGTAATAATGTCCTGAGAGCGCACTCCGTAGATGCACTCACACAGAGACATGTAGGAGGAGATGTATGAAGGCAGCAGACCAAGAAGTGATTTAAAGATGAAAATATACCAGTGAGAGAGTCTGCGTGAAGTTAATGATGTCCAGTTAACCAGTGAATACAGGGTGCAGTGGTGGGTACGATAATCACAGCCAGTTATGAATCTTAGTGCACCATGATAGCAGACATCCAACATCTGCAGGGTTCTTGTAGGAGTGTTCATGTAAATAATATCACCATAATCAATTGAGGGAAGGAAAGTCACAGATACAAGGCGTTTTCTAGCATTCAGGGTTAGACAGGATCTGTTTCTGAAAAAGAAACCCAGTTTAACTTTCAGTTTCTTTACCAAGTTTTCCACATGGAGCTTAAAAGAGAGATGTGAGTCGACCAAGATACCCAAATATTTATAGGAATCAACAAACTCAATGGGGACACCATTTGAGGATAAAATCGGAGGAAGAACTGCTGGGACCAACTTCCTATTTGAAAAAAGCATCCCTTTGGTTTTTTCGGCATTTAGGACAAGTTTGAGGAGAAACAAATCAGTCTGGATGATGTTGAATGCAGATTTCAAAAGCTGGAAAGCCTTAGCAACAGTTTTAGCTCGACAATAAACAACTGTGTCGTCAGCATAGAAATGTATGGATGCATTAGGGATGTTCTTACCTACATTATGTATATAGATTGTAAAGAGGGTGGGTCCTAAGACTGAGCCTTGTGGTACACCATTGTTGACTGTTAAATAACTGGAGGAAGTATCATTATGTTGAACACATTGCCATTGCCACATTGTCTGAAAGATAGTTAGAGAACCAACCAATGGTGTGATCTGAGAAACCGATTTCTGAGAGTTTATGACACAAGATGTTATGATCCACAGTGTCAAAAGCTTTAGACAGGTCTAAGAAAAGTGCAGCACAATAATCCTTAGCATCCAGTGCTTCAACAACATCATTAAGAACCTTCAGTGAAGCAGTGGTTGTGCTGTGTTGTTTCCTGAAACCAGATTGATGTGGAGGTAAGATGTTAAATGAGTCCAGGTAATTTTTGATTTGAGAGTTTATCAGTTTTTCTAGAACCTTGGCTAAAATGCAGAGTTTAGAGATTGGTCGATAGTTGTTCAGTGAGGTGGGGTCTCCTCCCTTCAGCAAAGGAAGAACAAAGGCTGTTTTCCAAGTGTCTGGGATGGACTTTTGTCTTATGGAGAGATTGAAGATGTGGGT